CATTCAAGGATCTGGAGCAGCAAGTAGAAAATCCTAGGAACTTCAATGCCTGGATTCTTTAAAACATTATTATATAGACAGGGTTCCTTCAAAACTGGACGAGATCATTACATGAGGTAACTACGACTTGCCTGCTTGGCTGCTCTTGGGTTCCACATGCAAGTTTGCTGCTTTGGTGACTTCTTTCACAAGTCTAGGCCAGCAGACCTATCATGTGATTTGAAAATCCCATGCAGATACGTGTACAGTATGTACAAGTGATACAAACAGAAATTCGATTTTCACAAAAAGAAAGAGAGACCTTTATAAAACGACTTGTAAAAGACTTTATTCAGTTAAGTTGTGCACGTATCACTTATTTTAGACCTAAATACCACAATTTCACACAACAGAGATTAAGGAAATAACCTCACTTTAAGTACAGCATCAAAGGAATTCCACAGCCCACAACATGTTCCCTTATAACTTTAGCACTGGGTATTAATTTATTAAGAGACCTTTTTCCAGTTTGCAGATGTATAGTAAGGTATGGCTGTAACATTTTCAATACATGCACTTCTAAACTATTAAGAATATTAAATAAAATATTTAAACTGGGTAACAATTATTAAAACATTAGATCCAATAAAAAATTACATTTCTTTTTTTATAATTGCAATCATGTTTGATTTACTGATGCAGTCACAGCTGTCCTAGCAAAGCTTTTCGTTACAAAAGGAAAGTCAAAAATGTGGATCTAGGAGGAACCAAACATAGAGACAATTACTGCAAAACTGTTTAGCTGTCAGACACTCTTGCATGTCTTGACCTCGTTTCTGGTCAATATAGGATGCGGTTCTTGTTGGGAGACAAAAGTGGTTATTGATTAGAAAAGAGGGATAAATTTAAGCCAGCTCACCTAGTCCCTTTCTGCTTTAAGGAAAATTTAGAAGAAAATCTTACAGAATATTAAATATTATAAATATTACAGAATAGTTTCAACGGTTTAACACTTCTCTTCTCTTCACTCTCACCCCTTCTATTTGATTGCCTTTTAAGGTGTTTACTGTGTAAACACAATGCCTGTTCGCTTTAGACTTCGAGCCACTGTCAGTTTGCAGTACTGTATCTTTGTTGCACCATTAATCCTAAGTGCTCTTGGCTCCTGCAGTAATAGTAGTGAGGGCATGCACCTTTCCTTTTCCCTCTTACTTATCTTGTCTTCTACCTCCTGTAAAAGCTCTTGATACCCGGAAGGCACACACACACACTGTGCCCCACAAAGCCTGAAATGCCCCCTGCTGGGCGGGTCTGGGACAGCGATGGCTTGCAGCTTCCTGGCAGTCAGGAGCTGTCACCGAGTGCGCCCAGGGCTGGGTCAGCAGCCAGGGTCGATGAGGCCTGCTTTCTCTCCTCATCATCACAAAGGAACGAGTGATTCCTGCTGTGCGCAAAGCCCAGCCACCCTCACCTTCACTGAGCTCTGCACACTCGTGCAGGACATTTCCGCTCATGAACGTGCCTGTGTTTGTGTTTTTCAAATAAGCTCCTTGGAAATCAGCCGTTAGCACCTCATGTTCCCATACGGCTCCTTTTTTGTTTTTGGTTTTTTAT